TTTTTAAAGGGGAGCAGAGAGTTTGGGGGTGCTGTGCCCCCCTGTGATCCCCGATCCGGTCTAGTGCGTGTGACACCGTGGGGAGTTTAAAGGCTCCCCTGGCATGGTGTGAAATTCTCCATGAGCCCCCAGGGCAGTGTGGGGTGGGACGGTGCAAGAGGGTTTTTACCCTTCGCTAATGCCCCAGGTGAGGGGCTGGGCCGAGCTGGCTTTCCAGGCCCCATTGAGGCTGTCTGGGTTTCCTGTTGGCCAGCTGCAATGCTGCTGTCCATGCTGCAGATGCCGGTTCCATTTAGGAACTGGAGTGAAGCCGCCAGCTGGCTCCACGGAGGCCAGGAAATGGCTCTAGGTCGCTACCTGCTTGTGCCAGGTTGCAACTGGTGGCACAGGGACAAAGCTCTGCTCCGTGAGCAAGCCCCTGCACCAAGCGCTGCTGCTGCCTGTCGGCTGATCGCAGCCCTGGCTCCGGAGTCCGCGTGCTAGGGGCCCGATTCTTGCTCTGATGTTGGCTCCACTGAACATCAGGCTGGGAGCGAGTGGAGGAGTTCACCCCATCCTGTTCAACCGCAGGTCTTACTACGTGCTGATCCTGTCTCAGCAAGGACCCTCTTAGGAATGGGACCAGAACCTACCAGATCCTGACAGCTGCCCCCTCCCGCTCCTTTCCCCCCTCTTCCTCGTCCCGTGATAATGGATGAGTGGAAACCCAACGCTCCAGCCAAACAGTTTGTCCCGCGGAAAAACCGGAGCTGGTACCTGGCCTGGAAGTACAAGCTGATGAACCAGAGGGCCGTCCGGCGGCTGTGCCAGGTGAGTGCCCTGGAGTAATGCGAATCATGCCAGGGTGGAGAGAGAGAGGCAGGGATTAGAGAAGATAAACTTGCAAAGCCCCATGGATTATGGCGTCTGTGTCGGGCTGCAGATGCTGCCGCCTTGTGACCTAACGCAGGGGAAGAGAATAAATTGTCCTTTGAGAAGCCACCCGCATTGTGTTTCACCCTTACAAGGTAGAATGGAACGAGTCAAACCCTCCTCTAGCTATGGCAAGTGCCCAAGAAAGATCTTTTTCCTGCAGACAGAGGGGACCTTCATCGATTTCACCTGTGGCTAGATGCTGTTGATTACCAGGCCTGCACAGCTTAGCAACTCTGAAATATAGGGCATCCTTGCTAGAAGTTGCCCTGGTAAACATCCATCCTGCACGAACGTCGTTGACGCTTGTAGGATCTGATGTGTTAAGTCCTCCCATTCCCCGCTCTTACGTCATGCAAAAAAAAAAATCCCACAACAGTTTGCAAAACTTGTGGCTAGATGCTGTTGATTACCAGGCCTGCACAGCTTAGCAACTCTGAAATATAGGGCATCCTTGCTAGAAGTTGCCCTGGTAAACATCCATCCTGCACGAACGTCGTTGACGCTTGTAGGATCTGATGTGTTAAGTCCTCCCATTCCCCGCTCTTACGTCATGCAAAAAAAAAAATCCCACAACAGTTTGCAAAACTAATATGCCCAGCAGAGATTCTGAAAGGGTGAACAAAGGAAACCAATTCCAGCTCATGTCCTTTTATGCTGCTCTGTGATGGGTAAGAGAAATCCGAAAGATGTATTTGTTTTATAAAAGGTTTGTTTCTGGTTTCACAGAGGCTTTTCTATTTTAATTTGCCGTGGTGGATATGTATGTGTGTTTAGGGGGGATGGCGGTTTGTTTTCCGAAAGAACATTTCAGATGCATTTGACCCCAACACATTCAAAGGAGATTTCTTATTCTGGCCATATATAATCCAGGTTTGCGGTAGGCTTTGGCCTGATCTGCACACCACATAGGTGGATGCAGCTATAGAAGTGCGGAATGTCGTCTTGCTATACAGCCAGGCTGTGTCTACACTGGCATGAATTTCCGGAAATGCTTAAAACGGAATACTATTCCGTTTTCAGTTTTTCCGGAAAAGGAGCATCTACATTGGCAGGCTGCTTTTCCGGAAAAGCTCTCTTTCCGGAAAAGCTCTCTTTCCGGAAAAGCGTCTGTGGCCAATGTAGATGCGCTTTTCCGGAAAAGAGCCCTAATCACCATTTTCGCGATTGGGGCTTTTTCCCGGAAAAGACTATTGGGCTATCTACACTGGCCCTTTTCCAGAACAGTATTCCGGAATAAGGATTTATGCCCAAGCGGGAGCAGAATAGTTTTTCCGGAATAGCGGCTGATTTTGTACAGTAGAGCATCGTTGCTTTTCCGGAAATTCAAGGCCCAGTGTAGACAGCTCGCAGCTTATTCCAGAAAAGCGGCTGATTTTCCGGAATAAGTGGCCCAGTGTAGACAGCCCCACAGATTTTAGAACGGATCTTGGATGTATAGCCAGGACGCCCTGCAATATTTCCTGGAGGGGAGGGTGGACTTACTAGGTGCCTGGTTGTGAGTTCTAGCTCTGCATTTGGCTTGTGGGGGAAAGCCTTGTGAGACTCACTCCTGTTGGCTCTCCACTGTGTATTGGCTAGAGAAACTAGAGCCAGTGAGTTTTTCGTTGTGTGGTCCTCTGTGCGACTAGGCTAGAGGCTTTCAGCGCTGCACGGGCCTTGGGTAGCCCTTTCTTAGCAGAACTAAGTTTTGACTGTAAACGCCTCATTAATCTTGTTTGTAAAATTTACCTGCTGTATATTTGAGTGTCCGTTTGTGCGGGATCTCTTCCTAAACAGCAACACCCCATGTGCAGCTTCCTTGTATCATATCTTAAAGCAAGGTCAGGCATTTGGTTGTGCCAGGCCAACGGGGTGTGCCTGGAATGGGACTGGTGCTCTTAAAACCATACAGAAAAGAGACAGAATCACCAGGCAGGTGAAAGGGGCTGGCTGGGGGCACCCCCACTTGTCCAGAACTACCCCAGCCCTCAGTGCCCTTAGGGAGGCTGAAGTCCCCCTCCCTCTCCCGATTCATATGGCAACATTGCTGTTTCCCTTTGTCAGGGAGTGAAGGGAAAGTGCAGAGTTTGCTGCATTCCTCACTCTGGCTGGGAGGGCAGGAGGCAGAAGAACATGGATTTGACCCACCCAGGGGACATGTGCCTGTCCCCTGCTGTGCCAGCTGGAGCCCCGAGCTGCTGTGGTGAGAGAGGACTGGGGTTGTCCTCAGGGCAGCCTGCACCCCTCACCCCCATCCCTACCCCAGAGCAGTGATTCAAATGGAAGATGGACCTTTTCTCGAAAGGGGCTGGCTGGGGGCACCCCCACTTGTCCAGAACTACCCCAGCCCTCAGTGCCCTTAGGGAGGCTGAAGTCCCCCTCCCTCTCCCGATTCATATGGCAACATTGCTGTTTCCCTTTGTCAGGGAGTGAAGGGAAAGTGCAGAGTTTGCTGCATTCCTCACTCTGGCTGGGAGGGCAGGAGGCAGAAGAACATGGATTTGACCCACCCAGGGGACATGTGCCTGTCCCCTGCTGTGCCAGCTGGAGCCCCGAGCTGCTGTGGTGAGAGAGGACTGGGGTTGTCCTCAGGGCAGCCTGCACCCCTCACCCCCATCCCTACCCCAGAGCAGTGATTCAAATGGAAGATGGACCTTTTCTCCAAAAATGAATTGAGTTAAGGACCCGAGCCATGCCGGGTAAGTCAGGGAGCTTGTGTCTGGGCTGTTTGTGTAGGAAGAGTGGCTCTTACAATTCTCTGAGCATGGGCCTTAGAATATTTGGTGCTGGTGCCTTTTTTTTTTTTTTTTTGTGTGCCTTGGCTCCAAGACTCTCACTTTTTTTTATAAATTAATGGAGATTGCCTATCTCCTAGAGCTGGAAGGGACCTTGAAAGGTCATTGAGTCCAGTCCCCTGCCTTCTCAGCAGGACCAAGTACCATCCCTGACAAATTTTTGCCCCAAATCCCTAAATGGCCTCTGCAAGGATTGAACTCTCAACCCTGGGTTTAGCAGGTCAATGCCCAAACCACTGAGCTATCCCTCCCCCTTTTAACATGAGATGTTTCTAGCCTCTGTGCTTGCAGAGAAGAGCTGGAAAACAGGGCCCCTAAAGACACACAACCCAGAAGCCCCATGCAAACAACCCAAATCTAGGCTTGCCAGGTGTCTGGTATTGAACTATACAGTTTGGTATTTTCACCACCTTCCAGTAAAAACATTCAGAAAATACCGGACACCTAAAATGTCCAGTATTCTTTTTTTTTTTTTAAAGTTTCCCAGCCAGGAGGTGAATATCTTAGGGGCTCCGTCTAGACTGGCATGATTTTCCGCAAATGCTTTTCATGGAAAAAAATCCCGGACCCCTAAAATGTCCAGTATTTTTTTTTTTTTTTTAAAGTTTCCCAGCCAGGAGGTGAATATCTTAGGGGCTCCGTCTAGACTGGCATGATTTTCCGCAAATGCTTTTCATGGAAAAGTTTTTCCATGAAAAGCATTTGCGGAAAAGAGCGACTAGATTGGCACGGGCGCTTTTCCGCAAAAGCACTTTTTTGCGGAAAAGCACCTGTGCCAATCTAGATGCAGTTTTGTGCAAGAAAGCCCCAATCGCCATTTTCGCCATCGGGGCTTTTTTGCGCAAAACAGTTTTTAGCTGTCTACACTGGCCCTCTTGCGCAAAAACATTTCCGAAAAAGGGCTTTTGCCCAAACGGGAACGTCAAAGCATTTGTGCAAGAAGCACTGATTTCGGA